CGCTCCCCCCTCGGCCATGGCCAGCGAGGTACCAAGCACGGCCAAAGCTGCGGGGAGCCGGCCTCAGGCAGCCTTCCCCCAGCAGCCCAGGGCAGGGGTCCCCATCGAGGTGCTGAAGGCAGCCAGGGTTACGTGGCCACCACAGCTCTCCAGGCACCCCCATCCCACCCCACATCCCCACAGCTCTGCAGCACCATGGCTGGTGGGGCCTCTGGGGCAAAATGAAGCTCTGGGAGGGCAGCAGGGGTAAGGAAGTCCCCTGTTCGGCAGGGGGGGCACACTACTGGCCAGCAGCATTCCCTTGTGGCAGGGTGGCCACACTACTGGCCAGCAGCATTCCCTTGGAGGGACATCTACTCACATGGCCCACTGCAGCTTCTCATTCTTGATGGAGCCATACAGCGCCTGCGGAGAGAAGAGCAAGGGGTCAGCAGGAGAGTGCTGCCAGGTCAAGGGAGCTCCTCCAGGGGACAGAGGGGGAACACCAGGCCGGCTCAAGGACCACCAGAGGTTAAGGCAACCCCCGGCCAGTTTGTCCAGCTGACCTTGTTTCAAGGATGTTTCTCCTGGGCAGCATGGGACCTGCAACCCCACGCACGCCCAGGGCACAGTGCTGGGATGGCCCTGGCTGTCTCCCCTCTCCTCCCCCCCTTCTCTACCTGCCCATGATGGAGGCATGGCATTAGCAGTGTGATCGTGGGGCACACCAAACACTTGGCAGAGCCAGTTCTCCCCACTCCAGAGTGTTCAGGCTGGCCAAAGGGATGGCTTTCAGGAGGCGTGGGCCCCAGAAAAGCAAGCTTTTGGGATGGACTTCTGTAGTGCTCAGAGGGACTTCAGCCTGCCCCCATATCTCCAGCAGCTCTGTGCCAGAACACACCACAGCCTCCCTGCCATCAGTCACCTGTCCTGGGCTGGCAGACACAGGCTCACAGCAGCACCCAGCACTCCACAGCAATGTGATGTTTCCATGGGAGGCTGCCCAGGAGCATGCTTAGGCTTCAAAAACACCAGCATGCTGTCATTCATGAGGCCCTCAGAGGACCTCATGGCTGGTTGAGGCAGGACAGGTGTTTGTCTACTGCTGCTGCTCAGGGTGGCTGTCCTGTCCCTGCCCCCTTCCCAGCACCCCCCAGCACCCTGCAGGCCTGAACATGGCCAAGATGAGCAAGGCAGGACCCGCTGCCTGCACCTCAGCACAGGAACAAGCTAAGCCTGCCTGCAGCGGGGTGTGCCAGGGCTCCGCTCCCAAGTGTTTGTCGGGTCTGAGCTGGGAGCGAGCCAGAGGCACTCAGCACGGCTCTGCAGCCGGGGAGGCTCTGGAGAGGGTTTCAACACAATGCTCACAGAGGGCTTTGGAGCAAGCTCTGGAAGGCATCATCCTCGTAGGAAAATAATCGAGTCTCGCACAGGCTGTTCAGGCAGCTGTCAACATCCATCACTGTGCTGGAGACTGCTGCTGAGAGATCTTGCTGGTGGCTGAGAAGTACAACTGGAGGTGTGCAGGGACCCGGGAAAGCTGGCCAGCAGACAGGCCCCAGCAGCAGCAGCATCACTCCCCCGAGAGGCACAGCGGCCAGGAGAGAGTGGGGACCCGGTTCCTCCCGCACTTCCCATCAGGGAGAGGCTGGCATAGCACCAGCTTGTTTCTCAGAGGAGGAAAGAGATCACCCCGATCTAGCATGCAGAAAGCAGGGTTCACTTGTCTCCTGAGAAGACAGGAAGCTCAGAGAGGGGGTATGGTCTCAGCACCTGAGAGGAGATCAGACCCCAGCACCGGAGGGGCAGGATGTTGACATGTGAGCAGCAGGTACTCACTGGCAGTGAGGCGGCCAGAGGAGCACAGGTTGCAAAGAGACCTAGAAAAGAGACTGGGAGGAAAAAACAACCCAAAGTCCTGCAGAATATAACCTGGGAGCAGAGCAGGGGGAGAAGCAGGCATCTCAGAGCAATGTGGACGATAAGGAATCACTATGGGAAACAGAAGGGACACGACCTTACTCACTGCCGGGGATGCAGCCGAGAGATGCTGAGAACCAACAAAAACGAGACTGGAAAACTCAGAGAGAGAGGTGGGGACTGGGAACTGCAGAAAAGCTCCTGGGAAAGAGCGGGCAGAACGGGACGCGTGGCTTGGCTTCTACCCGGCTCAGTGGCAATACAGACAGGGGTGGGCTCTGTGCTCCAAGGAAGGGAGCCGTGAGCCGGCTGAGCAGAGATTTTGGAGGATAGGGCGAGGTGCTGCAGGAGAGGACTGTGGCCCCCAGGTCCC